GCCGTGTACCTAGACGAACACCCGGGAGTGCCTCATCTGCGTGCGCTGCCGAAAGCGCAATGATGGTGATAAGTGCGCCGGCATAAATGCGATCCATGCTGTAGATCTGCTCTTGGCTCTCAGCGTCGTCCTGAGTGATGCAGATGCTGTCCACCCAGAGAAATCGCAGGCCGACTGCCTGTACCATATCCATTGCGTCCCTGATGACCAGGGGGATGTCTTCGTTGTCCTTGGAGAGATACCCGGCTTGCATGAGCTGTGCGACGGTGCCAGTATCCAGTCTCGCTTTAAACTTGTTGCCATCTCCCCAGACATAACTGAGGGCAACATATCGCTCAGCTGAGGTAGCGGCAACAGTTTTCCTTTCGACGACATCAATTAAGGTAAAGTTGAAAGGCCCATTTCTGCGCTCGAGGGATGCGACGTGGCGGCACTGCTCATGACCCGTCTCGCATGCCACGAGCCAGGCTCCTATTTGGTCGAAGTGGATTTGTTTGGGATTGATTGGTCGGCGAGCCTCCGGATTTGGATATCCCTGGCCGCTGAAGACGGGCCATCTCAGTGTGCGGTAAATCTGCTCAGAATGGTGTGCCAGTTGCTCTTTTTCACGTCGCGTAAAGTCATGACCAGGAAAATGCGGCGTAAATTCGAACAGGCTTGTGTCAAGACTGCAAATCTTTCCCTTCCGACGCGTTTTGTCTCTGACTTTGATGCAGTGACGGCTCCTCTGGAGCTCAACCGTGTTTTCGGATGAGTTGAGCTCTGGTGCATTCTGGGCCTCGGATGGGCGAAGATCGAAGCCCAGGACATGCGAGACGAGGCGGCAGAGCGGACACGTAGTCCTTGCAGCTACTTCACACGCAGGGCCGAGATCCATGTAATGCGATGTATCAGAGGGTTTATCCTCCAAGTTGAGCCATGAAAGTGGAATATCGCGGCATATCTCACACAGCCCGCTTGGTTGAAGGGCGTTTGGTGATGGTGAGGTTCGCGACATTTGGACAGATCCGTTCGCTCAAACTGCGGAAATTGAGAAAAATTGCAATGATGGCGCAGATTGAGGCGCATTTGGGTTCTGAAGAACAAGATTTCGTAGTAAAAAGGATTAGGTGATTTCTGCGTTATTACTTTGTAGTGCTCCAAGTGATTGACTCAGTGTCTGGGGTGTCCACGTTTCCCCCGCTGCAAATTTCGCTGCTGTGGGCTGGAGCTTGATGACACATCGGGCATCCATTTATCGCACAGTTCAGGGCGTGATTGGCTCACTTCAGCTCACCCTGTGCCTAACCTCGCACTCATTCCCGTCTTGGCAACATCGCGCGAGCTCTCTTGGGGGGGGTTCAGTGTTACCTCTAGTTGGGCGCCATTGGCACGCTCAGGTTTACTCGTCGGACCCGACTTTTCCCTTTTCAAGACAAGTGATTCCTCCTGTCACAGTTCAGTCGTCTAAGCTTAGACCGAGGATGTTTTCCACGACGACTAATCCCATCATGAAAACGACTCAGAACACAGAGGGTGCGGGTACTGCTTTCGCAGGAAGTCCCCCCAAGTCTCCTAAGACGCAAATGTTAGGTAGTATAATATTCATGAGACTTCCAGAACTATCCACCTCCCCAACAAAGAGAAGCTATCGCTTCTAATGGTCCTCGCCAGAATATGCCAGCGCTACATGAGTCAGCAGTACTCGATGATACCCAACCAACCGAACAGCCACATGTGAGCCGGGAGAATGCAGATCGGCAAAGGGACAGCAATAATACTTCTAGTCACCAACACAGTGTCACACGTGGAGGAGAGCCGACTTTCGAAGGCATGAATGCAAAACCGTTGTGCTTTGCATACGAGACGACGTTCTGGCCCAAGCGTTTTTTGCCAAGCTTCTGATCCAACTCAACACACACGTTCAATCAACCAAAGGCCTGAATATGGAAAACGGTGAATATAAGGCCTTACAAAGGCCTGGCAATTGAGCCAATATATACCAATAGTATATACAATTCTGGGTTATCAATTGCACCTACTTTTCCACCACTTTTATATATGGTTGTGGTGATAATTGACGAATCTACGTGTAAGTGGAAGACGGCTGTTCAACTTGAAGAGCAGGCTTGGCACTGGTGCCGAGGTAGAAAAGCTGTTGCAATACCGTCGCGTTGAAAACTACAATTTCAATAACCAACATACCATAATATAGCCAAAATGAAAGAAAATGCTGGTATAGTAAATACAAGTGTGCCTTATGCTATATACACCTTTTTTTACTAGGCCTGAGCATATGGTGGCCGTTAGTTGCGGATTGAACGCATATTCAGGCCTTTGGTTGATGTGTGCGTGTGTGCAGTTGGATCAGAAGCTTGGCAAAAAACGCTTGGGCCAGAACGTCGTCTCGTATGCAAAGCACAACGGTGCCAAACACCGAGGTCGACGAGCTCAAGTTGAGGGCAAAACCCCCCGCTACGTCCAGGTTATGTCTAGTTGCGAGAACCCCGAGGGTCTTCAAAAGGTCCTAAACAAGGGCAAACCCAGGCGCCAGGGTTGTAAAATAGTCGACTTAGTCCGACTAGCCCAAAAGTCTGACTACGGCGTAGTCCGACTTAGTCAAAGTCTGCAAAAGTCTTAGTCAACCGTAGTTTAGTTTAGTCAGACTAATTAGTTAAGGGTTAGGGTTATATATGAGGATTTCTTTTTGTTTTTTTGGTTTTTTCATTTATTTAAGGTTTTAATTAATTTTTTACGTATTCTAATTTAATTTATATTATAAAATATTAATATTAAAATATTAAAGTAAAGAAAATATTCAATAATATATATTAAATTAAAGAAAATATATAATAATATAGACTTAAAAGTCTTATATATATAATATTAAATAAATTTTTTTTTATTAATCTTTTTTTTTTTATTTTTTTTTTTTTTTTTTTTATTTTTTTTTTATTTTTTTTTATTCTTTCTATATATAACCCTAACTGTTAACTAATTAGTCTGACTAAACTAAACTACGGTCGACTAAGACTTTTGCAGACTTTGACTAAGTCTGGACTAAATCGGCCTATTCCGTAGTACGGTCGATTAGACCGCAGTACTAAGGATTAAATTTGCAACCCTGGGCAGGGGGTGCCCCGGGTGTGCCCCGGGTGTCTAGTGCCTGTGCAAGTCACGTGCCTCCATTGGTGTAAGACGTCGAGATTCGGAGCAGGAAACAGGTATGCAGGAACAAGCGATTTTGGAGGCCCAGATACAGCCCTCGCACGTGTCGTCGCCGAGAGACATCCGCCTTGTCTTTTTCTGTGATGGTTCAGTGCCTTGGAAGTCCCAGCTTACGTCACCGGGCAGCTATGCCACGACATTCCAACGATATCGACCCGGGTCAGTCGACCACCACGAACATATAATGATGGGGTGGAAGATTGACCCAGTTATGAATGCCGAGTTTGCCGAGTTCTTTGGCATCCTTTCCTCTTTGGAATCAGCAAAATTCGAGCTTGAGACCACTGTCCCATTTCTGCCAGCTTGGGCAATGTACTTACCAATGGCGGTTCGAATTCTGGTCATCTCAGATTGTCGCAACGCTGTGGACTCGGCTCTGGATAGATGTAAGGTCCGAGGGGATCTCAAGCAGAGTCTGATATCTCGAATTCGTACCAAAGACCAAGAAATGCAAGATCTTAGAGATTTCCTTGGTACTTTCATCACGATCGAGGACCTCCGGATTCCAGGGCATGTGATGGAACGCAATGACATCGCAGACAGAATTGCCGCTGAGGTTAGGGGACCAGGAACAAGTGCCAACAGCGCCATCTATGAAGTTGGTGGCAAGAGAGTTCCCACTGGTCCTCCTATTGGCAATGTACATGACGAGGTTAGGGCGCTCTTTGATGCCGAACAAGCAGCAAGGATTGCAGAACAGAGCCTTGTCCTACCTGGGGCATATACCAATGCAATGGCGGCCTCGACCTCAGCACCAAGCTTGCCCCCGATTGTTCAGCCCCAGACAGCAGCCAGGATCCCCCAACCTTCGCATTCAAAATCTACGGTTTCGACGGTTATATCCCCCGTCTCCGTTGGCAATTCACATATCTCGGCTAGTATCAGCCCTGTACCAGCTACCATTACCGATAACTCATCCTCCAGCTCTACAGCATTGATACATCCAGGTGCGAGCGATGCCCGTGTACAACAAGCCCCAGGTTCCACACCACTTGACCTAACAGCGAAATCTTGTGCTCTCACCTCGGCTGTTACACCATTTGAGGAGGGCACTGCAGAGTCTAACTTGGACACCCAACCGTGTTCCCTTTCAGCTTCAACGCTGACAATGCTTCTTACAACCTCTAATAGCCCTGGAACAGTGGTTACCTCACAACACAACCTAAACCGCGTCTCCAAGTCCAAGGGTAAACCCGGCCCAAGAAAGTCGAATCCAGGGACGATTGCGAAGAATGCGCGTCTTGAGGCCTTGAAAGCTTATGCCAGCCGAGTGCAAGAAGAGCAAGAGGAGTTAAGGTATAATATGGAAGCGGAAGATCAGTTGAAAGATGAAGAGGCATGGGCATATGAGAGGTGGATTGAGGAAAACTGCACATTTGTGCAGCTCCCCTGCAATGGTCTGAAGAACGATCAGGAAGATGTAGGCATAACAGGGAAACGCCGGAGGTCGGAATCGGATGATGAAGGGAGAGAGTCTAAGAAAAGGGTTGTGTAAGAGTACCTATCTTATAGGTAGAGAATGGCGGGCAGCGGGGAAGATGGCAAATTTCATGGTGCACGATGTATACATGTACATGTAGGTAGCTTCTGTTTTTCAAAACAATGTAGAAGATAGAGATATAAAAACAAATATGAAGATGCTATTGCGTCTAATGCAGTTGTGGAGATCGTGGCCCAAATGTCTGCAACGAGTTGCGTTGGTGATGGTTTCAGATTCATTGGCTCGTGGCCATTGCAACTGTCAACGAGTGAGACATAATGTTGAGGTGCGAGTCAACCAAACACAGAGAAGTGGTCGGTGGTCGAGTGGTAAGGCGCTCTGATTGTACTGACGGGTGCTGGCCTATTGGTTGAGCGTGTGAGGCAATCAGAGAGGCGTGGGTTCGAGTCCCACCATGGCCATTCTCTGGTTCGCTAGTATACCGCGATTCTTTTTTCTTTTTTTTTTTTTTTTTTTTTTTGTGCTGCTCAATCCCATAACGCCGTACACTTTTAGGGTCGCATGACATCCTGTTGCGACGACCATTTATTTTTCTTCTCAAAAGTCGTTGTCATTGCGTTGTTACCGATGAAGATCCCAGAAGGAAACGGACAACGGACCGACTATAACAGCAAGATGGCGCAAGGTTGTGTTGGATGCGGCATTAAGCCCTGTCAACTTTCAGTTAAAATGCAGTTTCTCGGAGCAGTTTTCTAACAAGAGAAGGTCCGGTGGTCCAGTGGTCCAGTGGTAAGATGCTCTGCATTGTATTCACGGATGCTGGCCCGCTGGCTTCAGCTGGTGAGACGTGCAAAGAGGCGTGGGTTCGAGTCCCACCATGGTCCTTCTCTAGTTACCGCAAATATTTTTTTTTCTTTTTGCCATCAAGTTCTCTCTCGTAGAGATTTTCGCGACTTTTAGGGTTGGCATCCAATGACTACTTGATTTCATTTTTTCCTTTTTCACTTGTCTTTTTTCGCCTTTTCATAATGCCTCATCAACTCGAATAGCTGCCATCCTTTTCGACTGGACCCCGAATCGTGATAAACGGCATCTCGCCGATGTCGGCTTGTCTTGCGTCTTCCAATCCTCCAACCAACCCCGAATGGATCTCACGTCGATCATATTTCAGACGTTGGTGGCGCATCACAAATTCCAGATGCGAAGAAAAGGACATGATTCCTACAAAGGATAGACTCGGAGAAAGGCAGTGATTGCCGGCTAAGTCCGCCAAGATCTTCCAACCCTGAAGGCTGGCTAGCACCGGGGATCTCCTCAGTACAAATACAGTTCTAACTCATTCCAAAATTATTTCTTTCAGGTCTTTCTCCCCCGCCAAAGCCTTTATCCGCGCTATTCGGTCCTGGGTCTACCGCTGCAGAAATGCCGAACCCTCCACAGCAACACCTTACCTTTTTCATCACCGGCTCCTGCTTAGGCCACGGCCTTCTTCTGTCCCGCCTCGTCCTCGACAAAGGTCACAACCTCATCGCCACCTCCCGCTCCCCCTCCCGAACTCCGGATTTTGTCGATGAGATTCTCTCCCATCCCTGCCCCGGCAATGGCTCCAGCTCGACGTCAACGACCTTTCCTCCTGGCGTGATCAACGACCCGGAAACATCCCAGAATGTTGATATTGACGTGCTGGTTAACAGCGCTGGGTTTTCGATCCATGCCCCTGCTGAATTGCTTGAGGGAGATGAGCTCAGGGACGTGATGGACACGATGTACTTTGGTCCAGCTCGGCTGATGAGAGCTGTTCTGCCGTTTATGAGGCAGAGAAAGAGGGAAGTGATTGTTAATAGGAGTAGTGGGCCTGGGCTGGAAGCGAGGGAGAGTATGGGTGGGTATGCAGCTGCCAAGGCGGCGTTGGATGGTAAGCCGCGATGGATCCTGAAGATTAAGACGATAAAAACCCTGATGTTCGGATAGGATTCTCAAAGGTTCTTGCCAAGGAGGTCGCGTCATCAGGGGTTAGGGTGTTGACTATTGAGCTAGGGGCGTTCACCACAAATATGGGCGACAATGCCAGAGCTGGAAGGAGATATATCGAGGAGGACCTGCCAGGGGATTACGTGGGGTCGATGGCGGATGAGATTACCAAGATGCTGGTTGAGAAGAACTGTGGGGGTGTTGCAGATGGAGATCCAGAGAAGGCTGTGAGGGCTGTGGACGAGGTTATTGTTGGGGAGGGGGTTGGTGAGGGCAAACAAAGAGAAAGAATGCTAGCAGCCTTTGGGCAGGGATGTTGCAAGGAGAGTGAGGAGCGTGATCGCAGGGTATGAAAAGGCTTTGGAAGTTTTCGGCCATGTTTGCAACAATGTCTACAGGGATGAAAGAAAGGATGCATCAGATATCCAGGCGCAGGAAGATGGTGAAAAATCAGATACGTCATAAAGAGCTTGGATTTAATAGGTATCAATAGAGCTCCAAATCCACGTGGTGTTTTGGGTATCTTTTTCTCCGAACTGGCTTGTCCTTGCGTCAGAACAACTTGCTCGTCATCAACGGTAACCAAAGACAAAGGCAGGATATTGATAGCAAACTGAAATTAGAATCAGCTATCCCATGCTTGTTGACACTTCTGTGGCATTCTGCGACAGGGTAGGACATGGTTGTATTCGACTCCTCTTGATACTGTGATCAACGCTTGGAGCTGATCCAACCGCACAGCACTCCTTTCAGGATTACCTTATCTCTTATCGGGCTGATCGGAAGTCCCTTATCAAAACAACTTCGGAACAGAGTCCCAATTTGCTCCTAGTGGTGCGCCCCACCTTCGTGGACTGCGCGGGCAAGACTGATCTTTTCTCGGGACCTTCAACCGTATCTCGAAAGAATACCCCCTCCCACGCTACAAAAGAATCTCACTCTGCGTACAAGCAAAGTTGCAGGCGCAAAACCAAAATGTCGGTCGATTCAAAGCGAAAAGGTAAATCTCCTCAGTCAGGTAAATTGCTTCCAATATTCTGCTAACCGAATGCCGTTCATCGCAGAAGTTGTTAAAGTGGGTGATGGGCAACCCGGCTTAATCACGCGTACCAATAACCACCTGAAGCTCGAGCTTCCGTCAGACAGATCACAGGTTGTCTCCGACCAAACCGACGCCGGGAACCGAGACGCTCCCAATCTTGACCAAAGAAGCGCCAACCATGCAGGCGACGTTGAGCCCGACTGTTCCAAGGCCGAGTAAGTATATCCGTATTTGTTCAACCGTCACAACCGCGGTCGGTTGTTGTTAGATCATTACCCTGGATACCATTCGACAGTCGGTGTTCTAAATCCGGAGAATGCGGCGGTCAGACGCAACGCGTTGGTCAGATGCCAGGGGGTAGTGGCGGCCTTGAAGACATGGAAGTTGTCCCAGAGAATAGAGAACGAAATACAAGAGGAGACGTGGGCCGCTGCGGCCGAACATCAGCCTCTGGATGAAGAGACCTAGGCTCACGAACGATGGATCGAGGAGAAATGCAAGCTTGCCCCGTTGAACGAAAACCACAAATTCAACAAGGGCAAGGAAGAATGAGGGTAAAGTCACCACATTGCTTGTTCATGACATTCTTTATCTTCGGGTAGCTGGTCTTCTAGAACAAAGGAACCGGCGATTAATACCATCAATTGCCGAGATTATTATCCCTGGGTAATGTACATGCTTCAACTAGGTATAAGAACCCCATTGCCTCGTCCATTTGTCTGGGCAGCTTGGAGCTTTTTCTGCCATGGCAGTGGTTCAGTCGCAACCTTGACAGGTCCAACATCTCCATCTTGTGCCCTCCTCGCCTTCCAATCATCAATGTCCCTGTTGTCCACCCAGTTGCCATGCAGCCCAAGTTTGAGCTTCAGTGGCAGGTGGATAACTGCAAGTGGCCCCTGGCTCAAATTCTGCGCGTCGAAAATCACAACATCATTTCTCAGCACATCCAAATGGTTCAGCAGCGCAATCAGGTACCCCTCGCCTTCCGCCCCGCCTTCCTTCGGGATGAATGTCGGCTCCTGGAACGTCATCGTCGGGCCGGGGAAATACACGTCCTCCAAACCAGCCTTTTCCTTTTTCGTTTCTCCATTTGTCAAAAACTGGGGTGAGGCGGCGGTGTGGTAATGGTCTTCTCCCCAAGTGTAATGACCCAGGCAGTTGAACAATCCTCCTGCTGGTGGGCCACACTTGGCAAAGTCATACGGCCTTGTGGGATCGACAACTGCCTGCCAAAAGTGCCGATATGGCTTGGTCACGTACCGGTCATCGATTCTCGAGAACTCGCCGTTCGTCAACCATACCACTGCTGGTTTAACACGCTCATCAGCCACCCACACATCGGCATCTCCTGACTCTGGTGTGCGAATGGCGGACTTCTTCGCCTTGGGGTCAAAGATCCACCTTGTCGTGGGCGAGCTGAGTTTGTTTCTTTTGGCGACGGTGTCTGCCGAAGGGGTGATGTTCTTGTCGGGTGGGAAGAAGAAGAACACATTGCCGTCGGCGACCGTCAAGTCAAAGACTATTTCTCCTGAGGCTAGCTCATAGGCACCGGCGACATGACCGTGAAAAGCTAAATGCTGTCAGCAAACATCGATGAGACCACACAGCCCCTACTATGGAGAGCACATACCATTATCCCCCCTAAACCACACAATCTCCCCCGGATCCCCGCTTCCCCTCCTCGGCACAGCTGCATACCACTGATCCTCCTCCGGATCCCACGCAAACTTCCTTCCACCCTTCTTCATCCTCTCCAAGTTCGTCTTGATCGGCGTCAGCGCCAAAACAAGATAATTATCCGTCAGTCCCGCGTCATGAATCATCCCTGCAAACGGGGCTTTATACCACCCCTCCTGCGTCTTCTTGCCGTGTTTATCCACCGTCCAAACCGCCACATCAACCCCGCAATCCGCCCCGTCACCACCGCACTCATACGCAAAACAGACCATCTCCCCTGTCTCCGGATCAAACTTGGGGTGAGCAGTAAAAGTAGGCGAGAGGATCTGCCCTTCAAAATCGTAGCGGCCAAGCGTCTCAAGGGTGTCAGGATCCATCGCAAACGGCGGCCCGTCCTCCTTCGTGGCGAGGAGCATGCCCCTCCAAAACACCACGTTGGTATTCGACGCCGTGCGGATCACTCCCTTGACGGATTCATTGTCTGTGAATGGGTTGCGGTATTTCCCAAATAGTGACCTCCGCGCGGCGGTCTCGTGTTTGTATCTGTCGGTTTGGACGTATTTTTGCTGGAAGTCTGCGTGGCCGTTGGAGATGCGGATGGCGGTGACGGAACCGTCACCGTTGAAGTGGATGTCATCTTCGTAGAGGGGCGGGAAGCGGTGGTCGGGTTGGACGCGGTAGAAGGTGCCGTTTATCTCTGGGGGATGGTGCCGGTTACTTCGAGGTTGAGGACGGAGCCTTCGAAGCGGGAGGGCGCGTTCATGGACCGGAAGGTGTCGGTTTTGGGGAAGGAGACTTTTTCCGGGGAGGTGAGCTCATTGTTGGTGTAGTTTGGGGAGGTGTCGATGTGGGGGGCCAAGTCGAAAATGTGTGCCATGGTGAATTCGTTGTGACTTGTCGAGTCGTGTTGTTTGTTAGGCTGTTGAGGTGCTTGTTGTTTTGGCTGTTGAGACACTGTGGGCTTCGTTCTTTTAGACGTGTCGTGATGAGTGGGAAGATTTGGGATGGGTGGATACAACAGGTGTCGTTGTTCGGCTGTCCAGCACATGTGGATCTTCAGGGGTGGTCCCTCGAACCCCGCATAACATCACCAAAAGTGGCGACACCATCAATTCGCCCAAATTAAACCTCCGACGGTAGATCGGATGCTTCCGAGATGAAGTTGGGGGATTGTTGTTCCCGGGATGGGGTAGGT